GAGAGGGGATTTTGTGGGCTCAGTGATGTCCCTTTAACACAAGATCTGCACCAGAGGCACCCACGGTGTTGCTGGTGTTCACTGCTTTAGCTTTAGGCTTGCAGCACAATAGTATAATTCTGCTGGGTGGCTAATGCAGAGCACAAAGAATGTCTGTGCAGTCCTCGAGTCCCACTTTCTAACATCCAGAAACTTTACAGCAAAAGATCATTTCAGCTGATGACGCAACACAATGTCCTTGCTTCTTGTCCCTTGTCTTGTTCCACTTTTTCCAGCGCCCCCCTCGCCCCCCATCATCTCCATCCCTCCCCAGTCCAGACCAGAAAGTGCTCATTCATCCACAGTCATTAGGCATTAAAACACCCATTGATCGTGTCAGTGCTGGTGCTCACTCCCCCACTGGAGCTCTCTAATGCCATTCCCCCGATCTTCAGTATTATTGATCCTCATGTATTTATCCAGTTCCGTTTGATGGATGACGATTGCACAAGTACTCTGATTTACAGCACGCATTGAGGAATCTGATCTGATGAAACAAATTTCCGTCGTGTGATGTTAAACCGAGGTCCCGTCTGCCTGTTCAGGTGGATGTTAAAGATCCTGGGGCGCTGTTTGACAAGAGAAGGGAGTTTCTCTCTCCTGGTGTCCTGGGCAACAATCCCTTAAATAAAATCAGTCGCTCATTCCAGTGACCGTTTGTGGGACACTGCTTTGTGCAATTGGCTGCCGCATTTCGCTCACAAAATTCAGTCAATCCACTTTACAGTATATACTGTGAAGCGCTTTGAGACGTCTTAACGACATGAGAAGGCACTGTATAAAATGCAAGGATTAATATTATTATCTAGTGCCCTTCACGTCTTGGAGCGCTTATCAGAGACACGGCTTGATATTAATAATTTTCAACCAGCCCGGAAAGGAACGCTAAAAATACACAGTTTCTCTGCTCCAGGACAGCCGGAGCTGTGGGGTGTGTGAGAGTTATAAAGTCCAAGGGTTGTTTTTAAACTTCATGCCGATCAGAACTACAGAGCATCCATTTTATCGCACCAAAGCATCCTTTTTGGAGCCCAACCTCCTCACTGGGCAATCAACAGTGACTCAGTCTCAGGCTAATTCTCTCTACTTCTCTCGCTTCTGCTTTTCCATAGAGTTTGGCCACTGTCCCAACAACAGAACAAATCAAACCCCCCAAAAATCATCTGCCGTTGCCTTTGTGCACAAAGTGGGTTCAACACAAAAGAGTCTTAGATATCAAACAAGTGGGTTTCTCTCCCACTCTCTACCCTCCTCCCACCCCAGGCCCTCCTTCATTCAACTATACCAAGGCCTGAAATTTCTCATAGTCTTAACCTTGAGACCGTCCTTGTCTTTGATATTTAAGGTGGATTGTGGAAAAATTACTAAATCCTGCCTTAACATAGAATCCATTTTTCCACAACTCCTGGAAAGAAACTGGCTACCAAATTAAGGCTGGTTAAAGAATTTTGCTTTGGAACTCTCTCTCCCCCAATCCCTCCCAACCTGCCCCCTCCTTCCCCCCTATTAGATCACCACTGAAGGTTTTCGCAGGAAGGGCTCTATATTATTGTTGTGCCATTTTTAAGTCGGAATGGGCCTTTGTTTTTAGAACCATAGAAATTTACAGCATGGCAGAAGGCCATTCGGTCCATCATATCTGTGCCGGTTCTTTTTAAGAGCAATCCTTTCAGTCCCATTTACCTGCCTTTTTCCTCATAGTATTAATAGCCTCGGAAAGCAATCTGCAATCGACTACTTACTGCTCGGTGGATTGTCTGTATTTTGTGGGTGAAACGTGGCAGCCAATTGCGCACAGCAGATACTAATAAACTGCAGTTATAAACCAACAAAATACACATTTTGAGCAAACAGCATTGAGTTGCTTTGAGATCAGATTTCAGCTTGACGGATTGGGGTGAAGGTTTTGAACCTTTAAGCCACAGAAGTTATTTTAACAAATAAAAGATGAAGGCATGAAACAAAAACAGAGAGAGCTGGGAAACCTCAGCAGATCAGGCAGCGTCTATGGAGAAAGGAAAGTGAGTTAACGTTTCTGATCCGCGGCCCTTCGTACGATCCTTCGTCTTGGACCCGAAACGTTGACTCACTTTCCTCTCTCCATAGATGCTGCCTGATCTGCTGAGGTTTCCCAGCTCTCTCTGTTCTTGTTTCAGATTTCCAGCATCTGCAGTATTTTGTGTTTTGTTCAAAGATGAAGACAGGTTTCGCTTAGGAAAGCCTGCTCTAGTATGCTGCGGTGTGGAGGGTAATAATCTGATTTGGCCGGAAGCCCAGTATGTGTGGTCTTCGTGCGGGGGTGGATGGTTGTGTAACCGCAGGCTGTTTCCCAGCTCTGTGATGCGGTCTCAGTATCAAACTCAGGCCACTTGACCCCTGTGGTTTCCAGAGTCTGTGTATGGGCCAGAGATCACCTGCGCTGTACAACAGCTTATCTCTGCTACGTAGTTAGTGGCGAGGGTTGCAAAGATTTACAAAGAATGTACAGCGTGGAAACAGGCCACTCACTCCAACCAGTCCCTGCCGGTGTTTATGCTCCACCCATTCCTTACTCCCTCCCACACCCTTCTATTCCTCTTTCCCTCATGTGAAGGTCCAGCTTCCTCTTGAATACATCTACACTATCTAATTCAACCACCACTTCAGACAGCGAGTTCCACAATTTCACTACCCTCTGTGTGAAATAGTTCTGCCTAAATTCTCTTTTAGATCCCCCTGGTTACTGACAGGCAGACAGGACCTAGGTTTAACCTCTCATCCAAAGGATGGCACCTCCGACAATGCAACACACCCCCAGCACTACATTGGGGAGCCAGCTTAGACGATGTGAGTCCCAACGTGGGGCTTGAACCCACAACCTTGGGAGTCAGAGTTGAGAGCGCTACCACTGAGCCAATGTGGAACTCTATGGTTTGGATATTCTTAAGCATGGTAATGGGTTTCCCCAATCGTGAGACCAAAAATTGCCTCCAAGGAGACCCCACTTCCCTCCCCACCCCCAGAGCACAGTCACTAGTTGGTCATTTGACATCCAACAAGTATAGGTTTGAGCCTCACTCGGTGGATGGCAGGTACCAGGAACTCCCTGTGAGCTTCCCGGTAGGTAACACAGCTCAGCATTGCCACCATCTTCCTGCCTACAGCTCAGGCACACATCCCTTCCCATTGAGCGATGGTTCCACGTGGGCTGAATGATAATCCTGCACAATAATATCTCATAACATATAGTTTGGGACATGATATGTGCAAGCGGCTGCCAGGATGATGGACGGTGAACTGGATGGATCTTGGTCTTCTTTCGTCCAGCAATTCTTATGTTCTGAAGCACTACAGTTACGCTGCAATTCCTACTTTTTTCTGACGGGNTTTTTTTGGCAGCAGCTGAGAAGCCAAGGCGGAAGCTTTAACCCTCTTGGAGGCAGATCAGTGCAGTAATCTGACTCTCATAAGGAGGATTTAAGCGCTGCCTTTTATTAGGTCAGGGCATGTAATGTTATACCCCGTGTTTGGGAACAATAATGGGATTGAATATAGTAGCTTTCTCAGAATTGTTACAAAGTGCAAGCTTAACCGTGACTTGAGACGGGGCTTTGTATTACAACCCAGTTGTTCGTCGATTGGCGGATCGCTTTCCAGGCTAATAATCCCTCAAACAAAAATGCGGTCACGCAATCCACAACTGTTTGGGGGACGCTGCTATGCGCAATTGGCTGCCGCGTTTCACCCACAAAGTACGCAGTTAATTCAGTTTACAATGAACTCTGTGAAGCGCTTTGAGTTGTCTCGACGATGTGATAAGGCGCTGTAACAAATGCAAGGATTGTTATTATTATTAATCAGTCAATCATCTTAAGACTGTTAGTGGGAACTTACTGGCACAAAACAGCTATGTTTACTTACACTGTACTAGACTGTAATTACCAGTAATATTAATAATAATCCTTGTATTTGATATAGCGCCTTATCATGTCGTTCAAATGTCTCAGTCTGCTTCGCAGGATTCACTGTAAAGTGTAGTGACTGTGCATATGTGGCCGAACATGGCAGGCAATTCCCACAAACAGCATTAATTTCCACTGGTCGGTGAGTTGGTAATTGGGGAACATTGATTTAAGTTTATCAGTAGCGTGTGTCAGCCTGGTTCAGTCGGTAGCACTCTCTCCTCTGAGTCAGAAGGTTGTGGGTTCAAGTCCCAATTCAAATTTGGAACTCGTATAGTCCAAGCTGACACTCCGGTTCAGTGATGCATTGTCGGAGGTGCCATCCTTCAGATAAGACATTGAGCTGAGGTCCCATCTATGTCTGTTTAGATAAAAGATTCCAGGACACTATTGGAAAAGAGAAGTTTTTCTCTCTTGGCGTCCTGGCCAACAATCCAGTAAAAAGTAAAATTTATCATTTGTGGGACATTCCAAGTTGGCTGCACTTTGAGACTTTTTCCTGACATGAAAAGATTATTAAATATGAAGTTTATTATTATCAACACCAACAATAGAAAGGGAGAGGTTAGGAGATTTTTTTTCAACATACGCGCACACATCCCACCCACTCACTGTATCGGGTAGGGAGGTCCTAGCTGGGCAAGCAGCGAGAAAGCTTGCCAGACAGGGCTCTCAATGACAAGCTATGTGGTTTTAGCTGTAGTTACCCCAACACACCCTCTGGGCCCCCCAGGCCTTGGCTCTTGCCAACCTGTGCCTAATACTTCCTGGAATTGGGGAAGCAGGGTGCGTCCCTCCAGGGAGAGAATGCACATTGCATGCCAACAATCTATGTCTGGGATTTCCATGTGTAGGTGGGATGGATGGAATTCTCGGCTTGGTTTGGAGACGCTTAAGCAACGGTGATGGGTTTCCGCATGTGTCAGACACCCGGCTGAGCAAAAGGTGAGAGTGTGACTGAGTAAGCCAGGCTGAGGCTTGTTGGCTGATAACCAGTTGTTGAAATTTCTGTCCCCGTAGGTGACGTGCGGCTGACAGCAGAGGATTTCACCAGGGCTCAGAAATACTGCAAATTTGCGGGCAGCGCCCTACAGTACGAGGATGTGAACACAGCCGTGCAGAACCTCCAGAAAGCACTCAAGCTGCTAACCATGGGCAGGGAATGAGTCCAGTGTCACTGGCCCCGCACTGTACCACAGCCACCACCATCCCCGCTGGCTCCAACAACTAACTAACCGGCCTGGCCCTGTTCTAACCTGCCCTGCCCTGACCTGACTCAGGAGTAGGCCAACAGTGTGCGTCTGTGTGCACACGTGTGTGTGTGTATGTGTGTTTGAAGGATGGGTATCTCTAGGTGCGGTGGGTGTTTTATCAGTCGGTGTTGGGTTGCGTGTGTGAGGACATCTATTTTTTTGGGTGGGGTCTGGGTGTGGTGATGGAGTGGGTGATGCAGAGATATTTGGGGGGTGGGGGAATCTGTGTCTATGGGTGGGGGGTGGGAGGTAGCGTGTGAGTGGCTTGTGGGTGCAGGGAGAAGGTATGGGGAGTCAGCGTCCGGCTGTCTTAACACATCTCCTCTCTACGGTAGCACACTACATGAGAAATAGCATTCTGAGGCCGAAAAGGAGAGAGGTGTGATTTGGCTGACCTGGGAGATCACGCGGAGGGGAAGCAGTGGGGGTGGGGAGGTTGGGATGCGGGACAGTAGAGGAATGAGTAGCAGTGATGGCGGGTTGCGTGTGGCGGGGTGGGGGGTCAGGGTGGGTATTAAAGCTTTGGTTTTCACAGCCTAACACTGAAGTTGCTGTATTGAATTAGACAGTAACCAATGGTGCCCATATGGGAACCATGGGCAGTTCTGCTGCTTTTGCTGTTGATCTCTCTGAATAGAAATTAGTTCCTCTCCCCTAACAGCGCACATTGAGGTTGCCATGGGGCACGGTCACTCACTCGGTGCTCACTTGCCGTGTTGGCCAAGCCCTCGCGCCCGTTTTCTTTCATTGCAGGCCAAAAAAAATCCCACCTACTTACGTTGGGGGGGGGGGGGGTGACGGGGGGCTGGGTGGTTTCACAGCTTCGAGACCACTGAGCACAGTCCCTCTTCTCCCTTTCCTACAACACTCCCCATCTCTCCCCCCCCCCGCCCACTTCCTATACGCTTCTCAAAGCATTACCTCTCCCTCTCAATAATTTCAACTAACAATCACGTTGCGGAGGTAGTGTGGCTTTAAACCTAGTTATTTATGCGATGCTCATAGCAAGCGAACCTCATCCTGATTCTATCTTTGAATTGAGGCGAAGTAAATTGGCACTGTTTCTCCCTCCCTGCCTTCTTTTCCCCCTCATTTCCCTCCTCCCCCCAGATATAAGCTGTTAGAATAAAAAAAGCAATGTTTATTTTGTGGGTGCAAGGAGAGGTGAGGCGAGGTCTTTGACGAACAAAGTGAATAATGTGGCTGAAATATCATCCCTTCCCCACACTCTCTCTCTCTCTTTCTCTTTTCTCTCCTCCCCCCCCCCACCACTCCCCCCGACCCTCTGAATAAACAGCCTCAGTTGTTGCTGCCACAAAGCGCCTCACGTGAAGTTTTGCGTTTGCTTGCAATGATTGAAGCGACTGATCAGAAATAAAATGCATATATGATTCACCTTTTTATTGTCCTGTGTTGATGTACGGGCACAGCCCCCTGCAGTGCCTAGCCTGCCTGCCTCCTGTTATTCCCGTGAGTTGAGATGAGTTTGTTTCTGCCAACTGTAGACCAACAGACGTCTAAACCAATTCATACCCGTGATAGTTCCATCAGCGACCCAAATGCCTTTGACCGAGGCACTAAACTAAGGCTCCTTGTCCCCCAGTGGATCCACGTCAAGATATATATATATACTTTAATTAATTAATTGCGGGTGGGCCTTCAGTCTCTTCTCCCACCCTCTGGAACTTCATCCCCACAGTCCCTCCGTCTTGCCCCCTCACTTGCCTCCTTCAAGACCCGTCTCAAGACCTTCCTCTTCGACCATGCCTTTGGTCACCCTCCTACCCCTACCCTCCATGCCCTCCATTCCTCCTGATCCCAACCCCCAGATTGTCCAGTGGCTTGGGACGTCATCCTGATGTGAAAGGCACTGTGTAAATGTAACTTGTTTTTTCTTGGTTTACTTTCCCAATCCAATTTAATGTCTTAAATAACGGGTTGAACAGAAATGTTCCCTTTTGAGGTCATCTAATCACCCTATAATCCCCGAAAATAAATCAGGTCACTCACTCCATGGCTTTTTGTGCAACATTGCTGCGCTTGAAATCGACTGCCACAGAACACACAGTCACTACACTTTACAGTATTCTGTGAAAGTGCTTTGGGACAACCTGATGTGAAAGGCGCTGTATCAAATACAAGGATGATTATCATCACTCATTCCTCTTAGCACTGGGGATCATTGAGCACTCGCTTCGCAAGCGAGAGGACCTGGGTTCGATTCTCGGGCAGAGCGAAACCTTAGGTAAGTTTTCTCACTCCACAGCCTCTGTTTACCTCACGGTAAGTAGGAATCCAGCTGTTAGTCGATTGGCTTCTGTGCATAATTTGCTGCCTCGTTTCATCCACAAAATACACAGTCAATCCACTTTACAGTATATATTCTGTGAAGCGCTTTGAGACATCTCAGCGACGTGATAAGACACCAAATCCAATGCAAGGATTATTTATTATTGTTGTCGGGTGAGATGTTCGCCCACAAAATACACAGTCACTAAACTTCACAGTAAAATCCTGCCAAGTGTTTTGAGACGTCTCGATGACGTGATAAGATACTTTATCAGATACAAGGAATAATATTAATACCGTGGAAAATTCTTAAACGCGACCTTCATTTTGGAAGCCATCTCTAATAATTGCGTGGCCTCTATCCCTCCGCCTAGTCCCCTCCTTCCCCATCTTCAGATCGCGCCTGAAGACCTTTTCGACCGTGCCTACGCTCACCTCCGCCCGGCTTTTGCACAGTCCTTGGTGCCGACTTAACATTGAGAGAGAAAATGGTGTCTCAGACGAGACAAGGAGGGAAGAATTCCTGGCCTCGGGAGAGAAATCAATTTGTTTTAACAATAAAACTGAGTGGGGAACCACACAGTGTGTGAGATGTGTTAGGAGAGAGTGTGTCATGAAGATGGTGCTTCTCTTGGCAGCTTGACTGGTATAACTTAATCATTACCAAACATGAGGCTGTGGCACTCGCTGGAAGTTACTCCCAGAAAATCGTGTGTCACTGTTAAAAGGAAGGACTCACGTGTTTCATTCCGCTGATGAACCAGAATTGTCTTAAAGATGCTTTTGTGCGTGATTGCGCTCTTGTAGGGAGCGTGGCATCCATCTTGCTCTCTGCGAGGTCCCACATTAGTCCACCTGGATTATTGGCCATGACACTCAGAGAGACTTGAGAACATAGTAATTTGCTAGGTGAAAAAAGACAGATTCTTTTTGTTCGCCTTCTACCATCCTGCTTTGGGCCTCTCTCTACCTCTCCATCTCGACCCCTCTCTATCTGTTCTTAAATCCGGCTCTAAAAGCTACCTCTTCGATTGCACCTCTGGTCACCTCCCACCAACCTCCCTCAGTGTCTGACCTGGTTATTTGCTGTATAAATGCAAGTCAATGTATATATATATATTATTGTCTTTTGCAGTAGTGCTGTGGGATCTTTCACGTCCACTTAAAATTGTCATAGAGTGGCTCAGTTGGTAGCATTCTCACCCCTGAGTCAGAAGGTTGTGGGTTCAAACTCTGAGCTGGGACTTGGAACACATACTCCAGGCTCTGCATTGTCGGAGATGCCGTCCTTCGGATGTAATGTTAAACCGAGATCCCGTGTGTGCCTGTTCAGGTGGATGTTAAAGATCCCATAGCGCTATCGGAAAAGTGAAGAGAGTTTTTCTCTCCCGGGCGTCCTGGCCAGCAATCCCCAGATAAAATCAGTCACTCACTTCATGACTGTTTATGAGGTATTGCTCTGTGCAAATTGACTGCCACGTTTGCCCACAAAATATACTGTCACTACATTTTACAGTATATCCTGTGAAGCGCTTTGAGATGTCTCAACGACACGACAAGGCATTATATCAAATGCAAGGATTATTGTTATATCCAGTGAAATAGATTGAGACGTCCTTCCAATGCGACAAGGCGCTAAATCAAACACAAGGATTATTATTATTATTGTGAGAATTATTATTATTATCCTTGAGAGATTGAAGAGCGATCCTTACAGTGAAAGGTCTACAAGGGAATGAAGAGCGACCTATACATTGAAGAGGTGCTGTGAGAGTGAAGAGCTTTTCCTGTCACTTGTAATGTTGAAGTCTCTTGAAACACATCACAGTAAGTAGTGTCACATTTTGTTTACTGTTTTTGCATGTTGCTTGTTCCCACAAACAGGTATGGAGTGACTGACCAATTTGGGGGGACTGTTGGCAGGACCCTGGGGGAGAGAACCTCCTTTCTCTTTTCAAATAGCGCCCTGGGATCTTTAAAATCCACCTGGACAGGTAGATGGGACCTTGATTTAACATCTTAATAATAATAATCCTTGCATTTGATATAGCGCTTTGTTACATCTTCGAGACGTCTCGAAGCACTTCACAGAATATACTGTAAAGTGAATGGACTGTATTTGGTGGGCGAAACACAGCAACCAATTGCGCACAGCAACTTCCCACAAACAATCGTTATGATTATTTTTTTTGAAGGGATTATTACTCCCAGAAAGAGATCCGTCGATTGATTAACAGCCGGGTTCCTTCCTACGGTCCAAACGTATGGAGTAAGGAAACTTGCCAAAGGTTTCACCCTGTCAGGGAAGCAAACCCGGGTCCTCTCTAAGAGCAGATTAGAGCAAGTGCTCTAACCAATAAACTACAGGACTCAATTATCCAAAGGAAGATACCTTCTACAATGAAACACATCCCCAGCACCGCATTGAAGTGTCAGGGCCAACTGTGTGAGTTCAAAGTCCTGAGGTGGGGCTTGAACCCACAACCTTCTGTCTCAGAGGTGAGAGAGCCAGGCTGACTGGACGAAGCTTTGAGCCTCTGTGTTTGTTGCTCTGGTTGAAAGGAATTTTTTTAATGGGGGAAACACGAATGATGACGTCACCCCCAAGTCTGGTCCTGGCACGAGGTCATAAAACACTGAAAGGAAACATCCGGAAACCTATTATAAGTAATAACTTGAGCAATGCTACGAGAATTTAAAGTTTACCAGTTTAATCTCTTTTTACTATCTTCGGGCGGCGAGGGGGTGGTGAGGGAGGAAGGGAGTTGGTAAGTGGGGTCTCCTTGAAGTTGAACTGTCTCCAAGGTGACATGTTTGGCAACGGAATCGCGGAATTCAGCCAGACCTCGGTGACGGTCTCTAGTCCGGCTCCTGAGCCAAGCAGGTCCAGGGCATTGCTGATGACAGCACAGCCCGGCCTGGCAGACCAGTCACTGGGGGCAGGGAATCATCCCGCTCAGCTCCTGTTATCCCTGCAGACCAAAGCCCTAATGGGGTAGGATGGTCCTAACTGGACAAGCAGCGGGAAAGCTGGCCAGACAGTGATATCAACGGCAAGCTGTATGGTTTGAGCTGGTTCGACTCCAGCAGTTACCCCAACACAGATGGCGAGAGAGTGGGCCGGGCAGACGGAGTTCCTGAGAACAGGAACAAAATGTCTGAATGTTCACCCGGCTACGGGAGCAAATTGGAGGTGGTGGGGGAGGTGGGGCACAAAACAGGCCGGTGTCTGCTGACCGGAGGAAGCAGCT